AAAAAAAAAAAAAAGATAGATAATTAGATAAAATTTTTTGTTTTTTTTTAATTACTTCAAAAACAGACACTAAATTATGGGAGAAGTAAAAGGATAGTATCTTCTAGAAGTGTGGCAAAAAATTTTAGGTTTTTTTTTTCCTATTCTAATTGCCATATGACGGAATGTGGAATAAGATTGATGCTACAAAAATGTACATCTACTGAAAATACAGCAAAAGATCAGACATCCCTATCGGATTTTTTCAAAAGCTGTTAATGTATTTATTTGGTGGGCAAGAGAATTTTTTTTTTGTTGTTAAAAGTATTGCTAAACTTTTTCTTAAAAGTGGTGAAAAAGAAAAGCGGAACTTGAGATGAAATAATTGTTACTTACTTATCGTTATCAGCTCGAAGTACTTTGTACAGTGTTATGATATTTGGATGCCGACCAAATTCCTGTAGGAACATAATTTCTCGAAAAGTACGTTGAGCATCTGTGGAATTTCGGAATGCGTCAAAAATCTTTTTTAACGCTACAGTTTCGCTTGTTTTCCTTCAAAAAAAAAAAAGTATTGAAAAAAATAGTATCGATATGTATATAAAATTTTTTTACAAATTATACTATATTTATCATTCCATTCTTTTTTTTTTATCGATTTTCATTTTTAACTATTTTGTCTCAGTCACTTTTTATTTCCAAAATGTTGCACTGAAAAATACCTACGATTTAGCTAAAAATAAAAAACGATCTCATTGATCACTTAAAAACTGAACAGTGTTCTTTTTTCTATAACTTTATTTCGGTTACTTTTTTTCTTCTCATTCACATTTGCAACTGTATTCTGATAAAAAAATTTAATACTATCGAAAAAGCTACAAGATATACCGATAACATTTTTTACAAATAAATGGGATGTTTAAGGTTAGCAGTTGAGGATGAAGCTACTAAAAACCAAATCAAAATCTAAGGAAAAAATTCAAAAATTTCTTATTATTGAAATATAATTACTATTTTTTTTGCAACGAACCGATCAATGGCCTTCCAAACAATTCCGTATGCACCTTTGCCAAGTCGTTTCCGTAGCTCATAACATTCGGTAACATGGTCGTCAACCTCCTCGGACATTTAGTAACCTTAGTATCAACGGTTAACGACGGCAATCTGTGGAGCAGTTGTATTTGTCAAGTATAAATTTGTATTATATATTTCAGGGGCAAAGCGGCAACAGCAGCAGTATCTACGTGTATCCAACCCGTCCACGATTAAACCACCGTCGATAAATCTGTGAAATAAATTAGTTGAGAAAATAAACTTCTTTTTTCAAAGCAAAAACAGGACAAAAAAACAATTTTTAAAAATTAAACTGTAGCACTTTCATTTATTAATTTCTTTTTTTTTGTTTTTTTTTTTTTGGTTGGCTTCAACGGAGTTATATCATAAATAAAGGAAAAAAAAATTGAAGGATGGAGTAGTTTTTCTTCCTTCCCTTTAATAAATAATGCATCATCAGTAGATAATATCCTCACAGTTTTGACAGGCAAAAGTATAGGTAGTGCAGGTAAGCAGTAAGTTAGTTTTAGTGGGACAACTACTGTTGTCAGGTGGTTAAACCGGATGAAAAGATTGAAAATGAAAGAGCAAAAATTTTTTTTGTCAATTTTCGTTCGATATTTAAAAAATGTACAGATGTTATATATAAGTGAATGTAATATCTGCATCATATATGGATAGTGTAAAAAATAAAGGAAATCCAGGTATAAAAGAATGAAGAAAAGGAAGAAAAAATAACCGAGTAATGCAACTATGGGGCTTAAAAAATGTTTTTGCTGGTTAATAGTCCATTTATTTTCTCGTTGGACTTTTTTTTTTTTTTTTTTTTTTTTTT